GTTGTTGAAGTTAACAAAATGCAGTGCAAGAGTTGCTGAATTCCAAAATGGTCAACTGACAAAAAACTATCAGCCAACTTTTTTAATTAAACTGATAAATTGTTTATCAAGTATTTATCAAGGAAAACTGACAGCTGCTTTTACGTAGTTATATATTTTGAGTTGAATTTAAATATTTGAGTTTTATACTGTTGATTGAACAAAAGCAAATAAAAAAAAGCATGAGCTCTGGAAAGACGAGAACTTTTAAAACCTTTTTTTGTTTGTTGGAATTTTATGGAGTTAGTGAGTAACCAGTAAACAAAGAACCCATTACAGTAATCAACAAAATAATGTATAATTGTTTGTTGCAGCCCAGTACTGTTTGGAAAAGGTAACTGATCAATCATGGCTTTGAAGGCTTATTTAAAAATGTGGACATCATCCTCCTGCGGAGCCTGAAAAATAGCTACATCCACTTCACATCATGACAGAAAATAATAGCCACAAAATGGCAACATGAAATCAAGTCAACTTAGAGGAAAAGCAACTGTGAAATCAACACATTTCTTCAATCACAAGCTAAAACATGAACTGCTCTGAGCAACTGCTGCAGTTTCAGTCTTGCCTGAAAATCCCAGCTGCAGGGACATCACAGAACAACACAGTTTCTCTCCCGTAGAGACATTCATGCTTTGTAATCTAAAGCTTACTACATTGTCTGCTGTAAAAAAAGGTGCTTTACTTGTATGTGTCAACTCAGGGTAACTATAACTCAAAGGAACAGAGGGTTGGTGTGGAGGAGGTTGTGAAAATTGACACTGAAATGAACTGAAAGTAAGTCTGTTCCACTAGTCTGTTGCCTTTACCTGCTGTTAAATTGCACCTACAGTACAGTACAGTCTTCCCAACTTGTACCGTAGCTCAAATTCACCAGGCTTCTGTGCAATTAATAAAAATGCTGTAATGATTAACACATTTCTAATCTAATCAAGCTTTAATGTTCCCACTTAGACAATGAATTTGAGTTTCATCGATAAAATAAAGTCGTGGTTGGTGTTTGACTCACCCAGAGGTGTGGTTTTACTTTTCTTGGACATAATGTTGTGGATCATTGTTTGATCTGGCCTTCATTACTGAGACCAGTTCAGAGCTGTCTTTAATGGACACATGTGGGCTCGAAGCCAACACAGTCATTTTCAGCTCTGCTGCTCTATGAAATGACTCACAATTAGGTCCACTGAGCTAACTGTCAGCATGCTAGCTCTGGCCTTTTTTAAAATATATGATTAAAGGAGAAGCCTTCAGGGTGTTTACACAAAAACACGATCTGATCCTTCAGAACAGTGGCCTTGTTGATGAGCTAGAGCTTTATGTTTGATCCCCCTGAGGCTTCACAGTCTGTCAGAGAGCTGATGGACTGTGTGGGAAGACAGCTCACCTGCAACAACCAACCAATCCACCCAACTCTCCACCTCCACCCTCCCTCCCTCAGGATGATAAGGGTGGTGGACAGATGAGTGATGACTAAGTGGTGCTGACTCGTCATTTCTTGCCTGCCTCTGTTTGACAAAGATCCTACACCAGCAACTTATAATGGAGAATTACTTTTACTTATATAAAGAACACCTGTCCATTTTTATTCATTTCAGTGTTTCTTTCTTTAAAGTGAACTACTAGCACTAACCCTGTCATGCTTAGCACTGTTCTATGCAGTTTAGAGTGACACTGGGCCATTTACCAGTCAAAATTCCCAGTTAATTTTTATACAATGGGGCCTTGATGTCAGACAGAAGTGCATAAAAGCATTTTTAAATGTCAACCATTAATTGTGGCAGCTGAAGTAACGACTGTCAGTTTTGAACTATGAGCAAATAAGAAAAATATGTTTGATGGATTTAGCCATAATTACTGTGGCCTCTAAGGACAAAGCACACTGTACAAGATAGAAACACACTTGTGAAAGGAAACATGCTCCTAATCCAGAAATACAGCAAATGCAAAAACACATACATAGAATTACAATACATACACATACAATAGGGAAAACACATAGTGTTTCAGGGGAGGTGCTCTGAGATGCTACATGGCAAATGTATTTGCTTTATCCTCAGAGGCCACTGTACATAATGTCATTACACTGTAAAAGACAGAGGCAAAAACGAATGCCCTCACAGTAGATGAGAAAGAAATAAACTTTATTTTGTCTTACAAGGAAGCTACAGTCGTTCATATAGTAGTTTCATATATATGATTAAAAAAAACTTAATTTACATTAATGTAAAATAACTGTTTACTTTACTAAAACATAATTAGCCAAGCAAAAATAAAGAGTTGCTGGACTGAAAACTGTAAACCAAATCCAGGACAGGAGCGTTCACGTAGCTGCTGTCAGGACCAACCCACGCTGCTCTTGTAACCTGCAACCATCCAAAATAATGCAAGGAGCAAAGGAGGAGAGTAAAGCAAACAAGCAGAGAAAAGGTGAGGGGAGGAAAGTCCAATAAAAAAGAAAGGATCAGGTGAGACAAAGAGAAGGAGGAGACGAGGGGATAAAGGAGAAGAGTAAGGAAAGCAAGTAAGGGGAAGTGAGGAGAGGAAAGAAGAGAGGAAAGCAAAGAATGAGATAATAAATGAGAAGAAAAAGATTTAAGAAATAGTGGTGAAAGGAGAGAATTACAAAAAGCAAAGGAGGTGAGGAGATGAGTGACAAAAGATAAACAGAGAAGAGTAGAGAGCAAAAAAGGAGGGAGAAGAAAATAATTCAGGAGAAGGGCGTAAAGAAGATGTAGAGGAGGGAAAACAATGAAGGAGAACACACTCACATTATACTTAGAAGTGTTACACTGACGTGCATACAACTGTACAGGTGTACCTAATAAAGTGGCCAGTGAGTGTAGAGCTAAATAGGAAGGAGAGGAGAGAGGAGAAGGGGTAAAATGACAAGGGAGTGAAGAAGGAAAGGAAGTGAAGTGAGAAGTGGAGAGAAGAGAAGATGAAGGAGAGGAAGGAAAGCAAGGAGAAGAGAAGAGAGGAAGGGGGCATCTGAGGCTGAAAGGTTAGTTAGCTGTTGGATTAGTTTACCACCCTGAGACGCTGTCTTTGTGAGAACGGCTGGCCGCTGATGGGACGTTTGGGGAGTATGACTCGCTGGCCTCAGGTGTCATTCAAACTTGACCTAGCTTCCAGAGGAATGTGGTAAACAAGCCAGTGTGGTCCCAGACACCCAGAGACGAGAGCTTCTAATGGTGGCTGGGGCAGCAGTGTGACGGCTGAATCAGACGTTCACCTGCTCCCTGCAGTCCATAAAACACTGCCCTATCTCTGCCTCTGCTTTGTGTCTCTTTAGGAGCTGTAATCGTAAGCCAGGCCCTTCCGGCTGGAGGCGTTGTGAGCAGGGGTTATTGTTCAGTCATCTAACAGTGCGCCTATTTTCCTTCTCAGATTCCACTCCAGCACTTTCATTTGTCAAGTGTAAGAGCTTTTCTTGTCTACAAGCCACAGTTTCTCCAGGCATAAAACACAGATGTCAGACATAGCTGCAACCATTACAGTTTACTGTATGTTCAACTCCTTGAAGAAATCAGCAGATTGTCAGTCTAATAATATACTATTTAAATGTTAAAATATGTAAGTGTTTTTTTTACCTTAGTAATTCTGAAGGCCTAGTCGCACCACAAACTTGTTGCATACTTGTTTGTCCTGATCCGTGGCCATCCCAGCCAATGTGTCAGTGTCCACCAGGAGCCTGACCAGACCAGCACAAACACTTGACTCTCCAGTCTGCTATCTTTACTCACTGGCTGTGTTTTTGTTGTACTAGCTTGTAAATGTTCAATGACTGAAACCCTGACCTCCATCATATTAGTGTACAATTATAGGAAACTGACATAACTCAAAACAATTTCTGCTAATGTTCAAGCAAAACCACTGGAGGTATTAGGGTTTATTTACTGCTTATAAACAGTTCTATGAGCTCATTATCATGACAATATACTTTTATGGTGCACTGTATGTAGCTACAGACCTGAAATCAAGAACAGCAGAGAGTTACGTCAGCACCTACATGTAGCACCGATGTCAGTGAAACAGTTCAGTCAGCAGCTGCCTTGACAGCCTGGCCCCCCCTTTCCTCCACACTGTCTCTAGCAGCCGCGAGGAAAATCCAAACATCAACTGCAGTGAAGTCTCGCATGTCAACTTGACAACTGTTTCTATCATTTTGAAATTTTTGACAAATTGAACATTTTTACAGTCTGGTTTCTCTGCAGCTTTTCCCAGCATTCCACTACAGCTGCCTCTGAGGCTGTCGTCTGTAGCTGTCATCACGCTGGTGTGCAGATAGATTAAGCGTTCAGTGTGTCCTCAGCAGTGATGTGAGGTAAATCACATGATGAGAGTTTTTAAAATGTGTTGGCTGCATATTTAAAAGAAAAAAGAGAGAGAAGTGTTTTAATAATTTAACAGAAACAAATTCATATTTTATCAGAAGAGGCCAAAAGTTTGGTTATTTTGTCATCTGCTATTTGTTTGTTTACCTGTTATTCTTTGGCCTATAAAATATAAACTTTGTCCTGATGAAGGTGATGGAGAAGTGGCTACTGGGTAATAAAAATAAAAAACTTTCATTTCCTTCGAACATTGCAGATGTAACCAGTGTACGAAGAAATGTAACTTCCTTATAACTCTTTGATTGAAACCACACCAAATCCCGATTTGTTTTGTTAATTGTTTAAACAGGGTTATATACTGTAGCGGATAAATTGTGTACTGTCTTTTTAAGACACCTGAGATGTGCTTTTTTTGTATGTTATCATTGTGTAACTCTCAGTTTGTGCTCTCCAAGCTGAGAGAAGGTATGTGCTTTTGCTAAGAGCGCCAGATATGGTATTTTCTGTTGGTTAAACTACTTTGTCATTGTTTTAAGTTATCACAAATTGTCCTGTTCATATGTATAGTTACAATAATTTAATGGTAATAGTTTATTTTGTGATTTGTGTAACCAGTTTGTGCTCTCCAAGCTGAGAGAAGAGACGCATGTAGCAGATGATCACACCATGTGCTGTGACTCATTTTATTTTTCTTTGCCATTACCCAGGTGATAATTAAAGTCAACCGGTGTGACAACAGTGGTCAGTGCCATTATTTCAACTTATAACACAACGCAGAGTACACTAACCCCGCCGACGGCCAAGGAGTGTTGCACCCGGTAGAGCCCGTTACACAGACACCAAGTAAAATATATAGACTTTACTTCTGTCCAACAGATTTTGGTTCAGCCAGTCTTGCTCCCTTTAGGATGAGCTGGTGATCCCCTGACTTTTAGACAGCCAGGCCAAAAGCTGCACTTAAGGGTCAGGTTATGCACAAGCAGAACTAGTTCAAATCCATCTTGTCCGACTATGTAGCTCTTTTGAAAAGTCACACTGCAGAATGGCAGTGAAAGCTGTCCCTCACCGACACAGGGAAATGTGAGATAATGGTGCAGATTTTCAAACAGTTTCTACACGAAAAGTGTCAGAAATAGCTATGATAAAAACAATAGAAGAGAGAAAGCTGTTTGAAAGACTGATAAGCAGTTCACATGGATTATACTGGCAACTTACTGTAGCCTCAAGAAAGATGGAAATCTGTGCTAAACAAAGGCTATTTGGAAAGTAGATGTCAAGATATTTGGCTCTGAACCAAAATACTGGGAAAAGGATGTATCAGTAATTCAAAAGAGTTTATCCCAAAATAACTTCATTCTACTAAATAAAGTCTTAAGACATTGATGCCCTTAATAATAAATGGGCTTCAGGTGGTGTCCGTCTGAACTGCACTGAACCGGGATTTTTAAAATCTGCAATATGGATGACCTTGCCACCCATTTGACTTTAGTGGGAAGTTAATTTGTGGGAAAAGGGAACAGAAAGAAAGAGATAAAACAAGTGGTGAGAGAAAGGAGGAAAATCTACTTTTCTGTGACAACCTCTGGCCAAAATTGACCTCAAAGCTGCCAATGTGGACATACAGGGAACTTTTAAAGCCCAGTCAAAGCAAAGTTTAAGTCAAACATTTGATGACATGGGTAAATGATGCATCCTGTTTCCTGCACAATAAATAATGCAGCATAAACATAAATGTGCTTTTGCTGTGTTTGTCAGAACTGCCAGCAGTCATACTAATACCCACTTCTTTGTACTCACATCCAAGGTAAGTGAGTATTTTCTATTTCACATGCTGATTATTGGACATTACTTGATTGTAATGTACTCAAAATAGTAATGTAAAAAGAGTGCAAAAGGTAATGTTAAGAAACTTTGTAAGGACAGTTTATGACTTTCTGTCAATGTCTCCTCTAAACAGGAAAAACAGTGAGACCATCATCAGAATGGATTCAATGGAAATCGATGATGGCATATATATAAACAAGAGCCTCATATTGGAAGGCCTTATTACCCATGGTACAGTATCACAATGCAAACACACGGACAAACAGAATATTAAATAAAACAAATAAAAGGTGTAAATAGTCTGAAAGTCTAAAGACTTTGGTACCTCACTTACTTAACCAACATCAGTCTTAGTGCTTTAAAGTGGTGAAATGCTATTACTGTAAATCTTTTCTTACTTCTGATTAAGAGAATTTTCAGAGACAAAAGCAGCCCTCCAGATGTTCCACTGTGTTTCTGGGGTTACTGTGTGTTGTCTTGCTCGCTGGCAATATTGGGCAGATCATCTATTGTGAGTGAATGGTTTTGTTGTTGATTTATTTTAGCCATTGCAGCTTGGCCTTTCACTGTGTATATCATATTGTATGTAATCATATGAGATAGAAGCAAGACTAAAGCAATAATCCTTTGAAAATCAAAAAAAAAAAAAAGCTAAGCCAATATTTTAAATACTTTAGGGAATCATTTCTGTTTTTGCCATTTTACAGATAAGATAACTACTCATTCCAGACTGTCAGCAGACCCAAACCAGGCCAGTTGCAATGCCCTGGCTAAAGAGAAGGACCTTCTCCAAAATGAGAATGACACCCTGACTACAGAAAGAGACCAAGTGCAGAGGAATTCTGACTCTTTAACTGCAGAAGGAAAATGGTTAGAGGCCAGACTGAGTAACCTGACTGAAGAAAAACACATATTGCAGCAAAGATGCAAATCACTGACTAATGAAAGAAATAAGTGCAAAGTGAATTCCAGCAATCTGAAAGACGAAAGAGATCAGTTACAAGCGAGTTACAACACCTTAAAACAAGAGAGCGACCAAATACAGAAAAGCTATGATGACAAGCAGAGAACTTTGGAGAGGTTACAGACTAAACACAATAATCTGACAGCAAGTAAAGACCAGCTACAGACCAACTACAGCAACCTGCAAAGAGAAAAGAATGAGTTACAGACTCGTTTTCATATGTTGATAGCAAATAGAGATGAGTTACAGAGCAATTACTCTTCACTAAGGAGGGACAAGGAAAAGTTACAAAGAAGCTACAATGCATTGAATAACAGTGAAGTTTACCTTCAGATCAGCTATGCTTCACTGTGGAAAGACAAAGAGCAATTGCATACCAGATATAATACTTTGCTGAGTAAAAATGAGAGGCTACAGACCAATTACAGCAGTTTGGCTACAGAGAAAGAGGAGTTACAGAACAAAATCAACAAAGTGATGGTTAAAGTAAGAGGTAAGACCTTTCTCTTTAAGGTTTTATATATTAGGTTCATAATCTGTGTTTTGGTATTTCATAGGATATTTTGTCCCTATCCATGTTCTCAATTTACAGACATTCGCTGTGACACAGACTGGAGGAAGTTTGATATCAGTTGTTATTTTATTTCAAACATAAAGAAAAACTGGACAGACAGCCGAAAAGCCTGTATGGCTCAGGGAGCAGATCTGGTCGTCATCGACAGCAGGGACGAACAGGTGAGAAAGGAAGAAGACTAGAACACGAGTAAAGAGCCACACTAGCTGCTCTGTGACAGTGTGCTCGGGCCCAGCACTTTGCTATAAATGCTAACATCATGATGGGTAGCAGATAGGACCATCACTGGATAAGTGAAGCTTTTGACCTGCTCATGACAACAAGGTAAAATCAAGGGATCTCCAAAATAATCAGATCCTTCTCCAGGCACCGAGGGCACCTGATCCAAACTTCACAATAGCCTGTCTAGTAGTTGCAGAGATCAGCCTCCTGAAAGTGGCCAAGTGGTCAACATTCACTGTTTATCTGGATGCTTAAAATGACTGTACAGCATTAACTGTAGCTAGCTTAGCTTGTATTTACTGTATCTATGGTACAGCAGCTAGTTACAGAAGCTATTAGCTTTGTGTACCTTATTGTTTTTAATTAGGTTGCTAGATTTACCTAGATCCTATCTATCAAAAATGAGACTTCATTAATAGACAATTTACTGTAAAGGAGGAGGGACAATGAACACTTTTACTTTACACATCTTGCAGACATCTGTTTTAAGTATTTTTATCTTCTGTGCTACACAAACAGGTATTTGTCCATGGGTTACTGCAAACCGGTCAAAATGCCTGGATTGGTCTGACTGACAGTGTTCAAGAGGGAACATGGATGTGGGTGGATGGGACCCCACTCACCACAGCGTACGTTTTAACAGCTATAGTGTATAAACTAGACAAGCACAGGTCATCCAGGACTAATATTACCTACACATAATATCTACACAGATCAGCTGGTGACTTTAAGCAGGTATTTTATTAAAGATAGACGTGTCCAGATAATAGTGCTTGGTCAGCTGAAGTCTAATCTCTACCAAAATACATTTTAGTTTCTATTTTTTTTACTAGAAACTGTGGAGGAAGGATCTGGGTGCATATTTACACATTCAGCACAAAGGTCAGGTGATGTGCTGTCAAACTGAGACCTTACACAACTGCACACACAGAGGCATTGATTTTAGCCACATTCATTATCATGTATGTCTTTGAAAACATGCAGATGTGTGTTTGTGGGGGGCGGGGGAGGGGGATTATAAGAAGACTCTACACAGTATCATTTCTATGCAAATAAGACTTAAGAGAAGAATTGGAATACAGTCCCTGTGATCACAGTTGGGCTCAGAAACAACAGGGCAGAGCAGCTGAGTTGACAAACAAACCTGGGTGCTGTAAAAAGCAACTGAAGGAGGAGAACATGTCCTCTCTGTCATTTATTGGCAGGTACTGGGAGCCTGAGCAGCCCAACAGCTACAGTGGGAACCAGGACTGTGGGGAAATTGTGCAGAAACCAACTGAAACACTGGACAAATGGAACGATGATGGCTGCTTTGCTGCGCAACTGTGGATCTGTGAGAAATAAGATCATGGTGATTTATACTGTGGCTTTGGACTGTGCTAATAATGCTTATCTTGAATGTTTAAATGTGATGATATTTGATGATTTTGCTGTCAATAAATTCCATGGAAAACAAATGGCATCTGTGTAGCTAAAGCCACTGTTGTCCATAAACTATAAAAAAAAAAAATGCTGCGCTGTCACTTCTTTATTATGAGCACACACATTTTATTTTGAAGCAATCCCACATACATATTCCAGCTGCGTGAAATACCTCATTAATACATCCATGTATTAATCTGCAGTTGAAAATACTCCACAACAAATGCATTATTACCTCTTGTTTGAGTAGTTTGCCAAAACTACGGTTCCTGTTTGATTTAGAAAATTACAAAGCCCGTAAAGCTATTCTACCAAATTTCTTTTCAGCCACTAGAGGGTCTATAGTGAGACTCAACAAAATGACACCATAAGTTGCTCCACAATGGTCTTTGCTCCTCCCATTACATCATGTTGTCTAGTGACAACGTAAACTATGGATGCTTGTTGCGACAAAGTGTAAATGTGGCCTCCAGTTTGAAGCTAGTGCCAGCTGAATAAAGAGTAAATGTGTCAGTCCAGTAGAACTCTCTGGTTACTGTGAATGTTACACAGAGTACCGACATTACCCAAAGCTCAAATTAATCCCAAATTAAAACCATATTTTTTCAATACAAAGGTAAAATCATGAGCGTGCTAGGTTGCTAATTTTACCAAAAAACAAACAAACAAAAAAAAAAACAGGTTAGCTTTAGATGCTAACACATCCAGAAGGAAGAAGGCCACATCTGGATCCAGTCTGAGTCCACTGGCTGCTTTTAACCGTCTCAATGTAAAACAGCCAAACCCATGTTAACCCTGGTTGTTGCTCCTTCTTTGTCCCACTCTGTCAAAAGACGTCACGTCTTCACTCTGGCAGCTGCTGGTTCAGACTTTTAGCCGCCCACAGCTCCTTCATGGCTGTTTGACATGACTACTGGTTGGAAAAACCCTTCTTTTAACCTTGGCTAGGCGGCAGATGGGGCTGATTTACAGACTGTACCTTGACAACACAGGGTGGAGAAGCTGGAATAACAACAGGAGGCTGTAGGCAGCAGAGGGTCATGGAGGGGGGGGTGTAGCTGAGAGACACCACATCCTGTCCAACTGTCACTGAGTTTATCATGGTGGAAAATCTTAGTTAATGCCCCTTTAAAACAATGCTGGTACGGTATACTGTAGATTCTTAGACTGAAAAATTATATAACCTATTTTTCTACAATACCACCTAGTGGTATAGCCATGTGGATAGTTTTATCTGCCCAGGTCCTGAGATATCCTTCTGATATTTGTGGCTTCACCCCAGTACAAAAAAGATAAATGAAAATTGGATTTGTGGTGTCAACAACATTGAAAAATGGCAGAAACATAGACTCCGGCAAATCCACAGAAAACAATATCAATTTTAATAAAAGTGTTTTAAAAAGTTCAACAGCATTTTCTAACATGCATTTTATTTTTAACGCTGTCATCACGTTTGCTGTGTGCACCCATTCTTCATGCATACCGTTCGACCTAAATCATTACCTTTATATTTTGCAGTCATCCAAATCTAAATGTAAATTGTGTCTCATGATTTTTGACAAATAAACGTTGCTGCACAGCATTGTTACTATTTAGATACATGTAGCTGATGATTTGTACTCCAGGTTTAAATTTCTTGATTCTACAAAACAGAATTTACTCTGCTATAGTATTTTGTGGCTCAATAAACAGTCGAATGCTGTCACCTGTGTGATTATTTAATATGTATGAATGAATGCATGTTACTAGTAATGCATGTCACAAAACACATACATACAATAATTGTATATGGTAGTAATGTGCTCCCTGGTGCAAGTTTCCTGGCCAACTCTCCTTTGTGAAATAAGCTTCAGTTGCCTAGAAACATTTCCTTTCTCCTTTGCCATGGGCAGACTCCCTCAGCTATCAGGGTACATTTTGATATCAAGTCTGTACACTGAAGAAGGCAATAGCCAAAATGTTTGTGCTTGCTTGTTCTTCTGTATTGTGTGTAAATACATACATAGTGCAAATTGGTATTCAGAAAAAGACTTCTAACAATGTTTATATCATCTTTTTTTGTCAAAAACAGCACAAGGGCATTGGAAATTTAAAATAAGGTAGAATTTGTGCCAAATCACTTCTAGACCGAATATACGATATACCATGATGAACTAAATCAAAGTTTTTTTGACACAGAACAACTAAAACTAAACACACTGAAGCAGGAAGGGTCGATTTTGGTGCAGAGCTGTTGCCTGGGATTGCATTATATCTTACAGGTTTTGTGTATCCCCCTGCCGCCCTGCCGCACCTTGAGCAGATGACGACGCACTGACACATATCAAGTGCTGACAATGCTCTCTGCTGTTTCACCAGACTGCACGTTACATAACCCAGAAGAAACCACACCATGTTTTAAAAAAATCACTAACATGTGAGCCATGTGCAGTGCAGAGGGACTTAGCGGCTCAATGTGGGTGCGGTGGCGGTCACACACTTCAAGGGGGCATCTCAATCATTAATTGGACTAAGCCTTTTCATTCCCCCCAGGGATGAGTCCAATCCAAACCATCTGTGATGGGGCGAGGAGATGGGACTCCCCCCAGGATGTAGGCAGGTGATGAGGTCACACTTTTTGCAGCCTGACTCAATTTAAAGCTCAAGGAACCACAACCAGACATGTTGGTCTGGTTAAACTCAAACAGCAGAAAAAAAGACTTTTAAAAACAATTGAAAGGGTGTTTAATATGCATCATCCTCATCCATCCATCCATCCATAAGCTATACCACTTACTCCTGAACGGGGTGGCGCTGACATTGGGGGAGAGGCTGGGTACAACCTGGACTGGTCGCCAGTCTATCACAGGGCTGACATGTAAACAAACAACCACACACACTCACACTCACTCCTACGGGCAATTTAGAGTCGCCAGTCAACCCACAGTAAGCTGCATGTCTTTGGAGTGTGGGAGGAAGCCGGAACACCCGGAGAGAACCCATGCAGGCACAGGGAGAACATGCAGACTCCACACACCCGGAACCTTCTAGCTGTGAGGCAACAGCACTAACCACTGCGCCGCTGTGCCGCCCCACATTAGCCTGATGACCTAATGTATTTAAATAAGTGAGGTTACTGCTCCAAGTAGACAGCAACACAGTCTTTATGGCCATACATATAACATTTGAAGGTAGAACTAGAATTTGAATTATCTTAGTAGTGAAAAATTTCAAACCCAACCATCAATTTTAAGTCAGTACAGATACTGTAAGTCTCCAAGTAACCATAGAAACAACACTACTGCCTTAGTCTATGTTAGAGGTTCTGACTAAAATTTAATCCTGAAGACCCAAGATGCCAGTAAACTGCACACAACATGCTAACGTTTACCAAATGGTGGAATGTGATGCTCCCAAAAGAACAGCCAACGGTTAAAATCAGAAGGTACAGTATAAGGTACAGTATAATGCTGTGACCTCACAGGGTTCTTGCTCAGTTTTTCAACCGTTACATTACGTCTTGAAGTCAGAAAATTGGACATACACACCAGGATTTATATTGGGTAAACGTAAACAAGAGCTCTTGCAAATGTACAAGGAAATGCTTTTCTGTTGCAGCATCACTTATTTATTTAGGTGACAAGATGGATCAGATATACATTTAAGTTCATTTCTACTGATATTACGAATATTCTATGAAATTCATATGTATGACTGCAGTTTTCACTTTTTGTAAATTTCAATTTCTTCTATTAAAGAGGATGGAGAACTCTAATTAATTAACACATAAAAGTCGAGTGTAATAGTCAGATAAACCCTAAGTACAAAATTCTCTCTCTCCCTCACAGACACACATCATACAGTACAGTACAGTCAGGCCTGCAGAACTACATGTGTAAAGATGAACTGATTTTACTAAACAAAGACTTTGCTTGTAAGAGCATTATTACTGTTATTGATGCTGTTCCTGCTGCTGTTGAATGGTGTAAAAAGGACTCTAACTACAGTACCCTTGGGATCAAAAGGTTTAGTGGCACTGGTTCTGTCTACATATGTTGTTTTTATGCAAACATTCATAACTGATGTTGAAACAGTGAATAATAAATGCTTGACAACACTGTATAAAATAGTTTATGATCAACCTCACAATTATGATAATATAATCACGTTTACAATTATCACGTTGGCTCTTAGATTTTCATTTTTATTTTAGCTGCAGAGATCAGTCACTTTCTTTCTTTATCCTTATTGACAGCATGAGTAAGCTCAGGCCGAGCTGTGGCTGAGCTCAGCCACTCAGGAAGCAGATAAAATTCATCGGACAGAAAACATGAGTCTATTTTTAGTGGCTGGGCTGAATTTCCTAATCACCTCCAGGAGTCCTGGATGAATAATGAATGCTGTCTTGTCAGTATAATATTTTCAAAACCAAACCAGGCTGAGCATCCAAAACATGTCAGTGGTGGAAAACAGCTCCAAATCAGAACATACTGATTTTCTGGGCAGCTGTTTGTGACCTCGGTGACCATTATCATGCAGCCATACACGTCTTCCACCTAAAGCTAAAAGAGGTTGTGAATGAGGAGGCTGAAGTTGCCGAGTGTCTGATGGAGATAAGGGGAAATGAGATGTGGCTGAGAGACACCAACCTTTAGCCTGCCACTCCTGCACTGCCCATATTAATTAGCCTCTATAACTCAGGAGCTGATCTGAAACATCGGCTTCAGGGCCAAGTGAGGAGATTCACATGAACAACACAGTGATGTGATGCAATACAGAGATGCTGAAGTGGACAGAATGAAGAAAGTGATAATCACAAGAAATGAATTATTCATTCATTCATTATTGGCTTTTGATTCTTTAGCAAACTGATCTTTGCCATATTAAAATAATAGATTTTAGAATTATATCCCATATTTGCTGCAAATCTAATTTCCTGATTATTCTAGTTTGTCTTCACTTTCCTCCTTCATTTTTAATTACTTTCACACACTATCTAATT